ATATTCAAAATCCCTCTATTTGGATCTGTTTACACCCGGCACACCGTCACCGGGCCATATTCTAAGGCATTGAGAACGGGCACTGAATATATGGACAGTAAACATGAGCAGTGAATGAATGCATTGAGAAAAAGTGTTGTGTATTGAATCGGAGAAAATAGATAGTGTTGAATATGGACAATGTTGTCTACTAGCAGTGAATGAATGCATTGCTGATGAAGTGTTTTCTGCAGTAAATCAAATTCAATAGAACAATAATGATGACACAAGATGTAATATATTTAACTGGATGTAAAAAACTAATTTAAAGTTATTACATTTAAAAATAAAATAATGAAGAACTATAAATAAATTCCAAACGTGGATAAGAAGATATTAATGTTGACATGAAGTGCAGTGATTTTACAGGATGTGCAATAATGTCGTGCATTAATATCGTGTATTAAAGACAATATAAAGTGCAGTAATTTTAATTGGACGAAATTAGTTCAAATTGCACATATTTTAAATAAGGGTATTTTTGTCATTCGACATTTAAATATAAACGAATTTTCTATTTGTTTTTGAATTTTTGGTCATACAAAGGTATAAAAACTAGTTAGGTCATAGATTGAGAAACTCATTGAGTTTTAGTCATATCCCGGTAAATTTCCCTATAATTATATGAAATTTATAAATTTTACAAAAATAAATTGTAGTAGTTAAAAATGATTGATCAAACTTTAACATAATTAATTAGAGAAGTCAAACATTAACTAATTAAATAAAAAAGAGAGGAAGGTGATATGAGAAAGAAAAATGCAAGAAAAATGCTGGGTGTACACGTTTTTTGTGTAGACCTTTCGTACACTTGTCTGTCTTACGCACAAAGGGTTGTCTGTACACATACAATCCTACAAGTTGTCTGTTTACACATACAATCTTATAGAGTTACCTATGTACAGACAACTCTATATACATAAGACAAAGAGTTGTGTGAAAGGTGTATACAAAAAGTGTACTCCCCCCTTCCCCTTTTAAATGTCCCGGAAGAGGTGACACGAGTTTTAAGAAAAGTGGGTTTGTGTGGTTGATATTAATTGATAAAGTAAGAATAAAGTAAGAATGATTTTGACCCACACAAACTTTACCAAATAAGGTATGGAACAATTAAATAGAGACATCCTAATATAGTAAAACGTGACATTTAAAAGGGGACGGAGGGAGTACATCATTTCTACATCATACTACCTCCGTCCTGAATTGATTTGCAAACTTGACTTTTCTTAGTCAAACAATTTCATTTTATTTTCTTAATTAGGATGTTAATTTTTAATTATCTTCTAATTTGGAGTTTGTAACTTTAAAGAGAATTTAATGTAGTTTCTGAATATGTAAATTTTAATTATTAAAAATTGAGTTAATTATCAATAATGAGAGGGTTTAATGCACCAAACCCCATGTGATTTGGAAATTCGGCGCATTAGCCCCCTGTGATTTAAAAAATGCATCAAATCCCCTTGTGTTTTAATAAATCATGCACAGAACCCCCTTTATGAATAAATTTAACGATTTGAAAATCACTTTTCCTAATATTTTGATTGAATATGCAAATAAATATGTCAAAATTTCTGAATCATACAAAAATGTCAATCATTTTTCTTTTATTTGACAATTGAATTTGTTCACATAAGGGATTTGGCGCATGATTAATTAAAACACAAGGGGGTTTGACGCATTTTTTAAATCACGGGGGGCTAATGCGCCGAATTTCCAAATCACAGGGGGGTTTGGTGCATTAAACCCCTTTTATTATTGATTGACCAAAAAATATTGACTTTGCAAAACCATTTGGGACGGAGGGAGTATCATAAAAGGAGCAGGACAATAGAACTAAAGGGTTATTAACTAGTTGAACTTGATGGCTAATAAAGTTGATAAACAGCAAAGAGGGTTACCAAACACGGAGCTATATGGGCAGGAAAAGCAGAAGAAAAAGATTATTAACGGTAATGGCAGGTGCAGCAGCAAGGGGAGAGCAGTGGTAGTGTCTCGTAGTGATGAGGTTTCAGAGGGCTTTAATCCCACCAAACACTGCAACCCTTCACTGCCATCTACGCCTCTCTTCCCTCTTACACGTACCCATCCATCGCTCTCCTCTCTCTTTCTATCCTTAAAGGTCACACCTTTTTCATACATTACTCCCTATCACTCTCCAGCTCTGGAAATGAGCCAAATTCCCCACATGGGTTCTTCAATCTTGACATCATTATTCCAATAGCATCTTTCCCATCTCTCTCCATTTGCTGGTCTCCTTCTGTGTATCTCTCCAGTTCAGGGCTATATCTAGCACAGATAGATACAGGTCCGGAGGGATAATCATCAGATCATTAGCTGTTTGTGTATAGGGATGTTTCAAGAATAATGGGTCAGTCTCAGTCTGCAGAAAAATAATCTCATTTTTCTGGGTTTTTAAATTTGTGATGGATTTCGGGATGTTGGATGGCCAGTTTCAGATTTCAGAGGTCCAAGAAGAGAGTGGAACACGATTCTGAGAAAAAGTTGCAGTCTTTGTTAAAAGCTGGAACGAGAAGAGAGTCTGAGTCTGGATCCTTACCAGCAGCACCGCCATTTTTGGAACCACCAAATTCAAGAACAAGAGGAAGAGGAGGAGGAAGAAGACCCGCCGCCGCCGCCGCCGGCATTCCACCAGCACGTAAGGTCGAAGAAACGGTCGTATTTTCCCTGTACGGTGGAACATGCAAGATTGGTGGGGAGAATGGGGGAGAATCGTCAGCAGAGTTCGTCAAGGTTGGGAATAAGGAGCGCCGGCGGCGAGATTGTGGAAGTCCAAGGCGGCCACATTGTGAGGTCCACCGGCCGGAAAGACCGCCACAGCAAGGTCTGCACGGCAAAAGGCCCCAGGGACCGCCGAGTCCGGCTAGCCGCCCACACAGCGATTCAGTTCTACGATGTGCAGGACCGGCTTGGGTACGACCGGCCCAGCAAGGCCGTGGATTGGCTCATCAAGAAGGCCAAACCCGCCATTGATGAGCTCGCTGAACTTCCCGCCTGGAAACCCAATGTCCACCACAACCACCGGAGTTTCGAGCCCGGAGATTCCGCCAATATGTTGGACGGCGAAGATTCAAGCATTGGTGCTGGGCCGTCTAGTAATAAGAGAACTGCCATGATGATGATGATGATGCCGCCGGCGACGGAGAAAGATAACAACTTTTTGCCGCCTTCTTTAGATTCTGATGCCATTGCTGATACGATCAAGTCCTTCTTCCCCATGGTGGCAGCTTCCGAGCCCCACAACTCCTCTGCCTCTATGCAGTTCCAGAGTTTCCCACAGCCGCCGCAACCGCCGCCACATCAGTCGTCGGATTTAAGACTCTCATTACAGTCGATTCAACAAGACCCGACCACTATCCTGCTCCACCACCAAAATCATCAATCACAGCACCACCACCAGACCCCGCCGCCGGCTAGAGCATTTTTCGCCGGACTCGATTCTTCAGGCGGCTGGTCCGACCAGCAGCAGCAGCAGCAGAGGTTTCCGGTTTGGAACTCCGCCGGAGAAGTAGCACCCTGCCCAACAGGAGGAGGGTTCTTGTTCAATACGCCACCGCCTCTGTTTCAGCAGCTGCTGCTCGGTGGGCAGAGTCAGTATTTCTCTTCTACTTCTTCTTCTTCTCAGAGGGGACCCCTTCAGTCCAGTTACTCACCTTCGGTTCGTGCTTGGATGGACCCGTCGTCTGCCGGATTTGACCCGAACCAGCACTACCACCACCAATCACCATTGCTTCCCATTTATCACCATCCACCATCGTCGCTCTCCGGTTTAGGATGCTCAGCGGGAGATGGAGATTTCTCTGGGTTTCGCATTCCAGCACGAATCCAAGGTGAAGAAGAGGAGGAGGAGCATGATGGCATTTCCGACCGCCCATCCTCTGCTTCCTCTGACTCCCGCCGTTGATGTAGCTCTCTCACCTTCTTCTTATTCTCTTTCCACCTATCCAAGGTTCGTTTTTTCTTCATATTTTATGAGCTATGTCTAGTATTACTGGAAAACGTGCTTCACTATTGCATTGAATGAATTCAGTTGCAGGGCAGCGAGTGCTTCTTGAAGTTAATATTGTTAAGGTGATGAGATTAGTTTCTGCGAGAGATCTTCGGGGCATTGATGGAAGATGAATTTCTGCTTAGGGCTACATCAATGGCGGCTTCCACCGGTGGTAGATTAATTCTGAGCATAGTTTCAGGTTTTTCTATCCCGGGTTTATTTTATTTCTTGAGTTATAATAAAAAATATCAACTTTTATGTTTCATCATTTCATGTATTCGTCGAGTGAGCTTGTATCCCGAGTTCAAGTTTATGTTGTTGTGTGTATGTTGCCTTTCGGATCGGATTTTTCAGGCGAAACTCCGTCCTCAGTGAATTTTAGTGTCTTCTAATTAAGCTATGGTTAGTGCATTTTGTTAATACTTTCCATATTTTGATTTACCTAAAAAATATGGCAACCTGAGTGTGATAGAGGCCCTTCAGCATGTTCTTAAGCATCTTATCATGTATGTGGTGATGTTGATGTTGTTTCTTTCTCTTCAAAATTGAAACATGCATACAAAGCAGAAAATCAGGTGTTTTGCTCAGTTCAGCAAAAAATAGTCAATTTCTTTCAAGTAGATGAAAGAGAGCTATCTTTATTTATTTTTTGTTATGGATTCTTTGTTTTTCATATAATGCCACTGATTAGTATGTTAACAACTTCCTTAAACTTGCAAAAAGAATCGGAAGTGCCTCATCTTATGTATCCCTATCATGTTAGGCTTTCTGGGAGCATCAAAGTTAGGCAGTTTTCTGTGAATAGTTTGGACGAATAAATATAATTAACAGTGTCTAGAGTAATTTTAGCCTGATAACTAAATAGTCTAAATATACAGTTAGGCCTTCTCTAACGTGCACTATTTCGTTTAATAACCAAATCAACCAAACTTAGCCTTATTCTCAACCATCTGATCTATACAACATAGTCAAGCCAACAAGCTCTCATCTTAAGATGTATTCTCCAGATTTCGTTGTTCCATTCTTGCTAGCTGAGGTGCCATTCATTTTTCTTCTTACCAGTGGTTGAAGAATTTTATCTCATATTGGTTAAACATAAAGTAATAAGCTAACATGTAAGACATTGATCTCTACTCTTATTGTCCCATGTAATTTTTGGAATAGATTTAAAATAAAAACTGTTTTAGGATCCTCTTTTGCATACCAACTTATCCCGGTCTTTATAGCTGAGGTACTACATAGTTGGATATTGAATGCATAAAAACATACCATTTGAAGATTCTGTATTAGAAAGTTTATCCTCGGTTGACTGAATTGGGAAAGACTGTTGTAGTTTAGGTGTTCTATGATAAAATTCATATTTTCAAAACATATTGGCCTCTAAGGCCTTCGTGTACTGAAGGCTAGTTTTCGTAATGAATCATCTTCTAATTGAGTCTCATTAGATTAAGGCTATTAAACTAGCCTTCATCTAAGCTCTACTTGAGTGCCCTTAGATGAAGCAGGCTAGTTTAGAACGCTTATAAGGCAGACTTAGTTGCCATTGAACCCAAGTGTTAAAGTATTATATGGAACAAGTTAAGAGGTAAATAATCGGTTAATGGATTGAGTTTGCTAATTAGTAGATCTAATTCAATTTTTTTGTATAACATTGTTCAAGTGCCTTACGATCCGGTTGATCGATTCCAATTCTAATCTCCATGGGCTATTTGTTTTATATCACTGATCTTTATGGGCTGTTTTTTAAAACCTTTTCTTTTTGTTTGATGAAATATGCCAATCTAATGAATGCAAAGTGTGAGGATAGAATGGGGGCTGAGAATGTAGGAACCAATCATGTTACTGCAAAAGGCAAAGAACGAAAAGCTCAATGTAAATATAACAGATAGACAGCTAGATGTATGGTGGTACTTATTGGCAATGAAGCCATGGTCCCCTACACTAGAAATCTTAGTACCTTTTAAAAAGAAGAAGTTCTCAACCTATCTGTTTCTGTTGCTTCTATTTTCCCTTTGCTTAGGAAAATTAAATATGCAACACAGTACTTGTACACAGATGGTGACTTTTGCTTAATTGTGGTTGGCACTTTATGGTTGATTTGTACATATCATAGGGAAGGATAAACTTTGTACAGATCTGTAGATTATTTTACTGCTAAATGGCTTAGGGCTGTGTTAGGTTTACTACATTAGAAGTGGCATATACTGAACACCATGTCTGCTCTAATGCTTGAAAAAAAAATGGTTGTTGGTACTAAAGAACAAGATACATGTGGTAGGATTGAGTAGGAAGAAGTATGTCTTTTTTTAGGTTTCAGATAGGCTAATTAACCAACAAGGGCAGGCAAAAGAATCTCTTGTGCATGCCATGTGTTTGTTGTTACTGATGGATAATAAACTAGCATAATAGTCTTAGGTTTAAGCTTCCATACACTATTTACCCAACCATACTGAATATGTATATGCTAATTATAAGTTTGTCTATAGTTAATTTTAGAGGAAATCACTCAAACTAAGGCTAAAACATAGCATTCTTTCAAAAATAGGACCCTATGGTTGATTTCCCCTAAACGGTAAACATGATTAAACATTATCTTTCTATCCCCTTTAATTAATTAATTAATTAATTAAATTAATTGCACTCATAGTTCCCTTACATAACCAATGTCAATCCGTTGGTGGCGGGTCAGTCTGGTGGCGGCGACATAACTCTGGTAGATTGGCGGCGCCAATCTGGATAAAAAAAATCAGCCATCGACGGTGCGACGATTGGCGGCAGGGGGCAACGGTCGGACGACCTAGGGGCAACAGTCCTCCAATACTTTGAGGGTACTTTTATCTAATCTCATATGAAGAGTCTTATTTATGAAATTTTAACTATTGAGTTCCATTTTAGGAAAATGTCGGTATCTTGGCCATATCTGAATAAACCTCCCTTAGTTTTACCATCAAAGTACTACTCCTACTCATTGCCATCATAGTATTTTGTTTCTTCATGAAGAGGAAGAATTACTGGTACGATTTATTAAGAATTGTGATAGTATGACCGTTATATTAATGAAAAATGATGTCAAAAGACGACTGGATAATTTGAGAATGAGAGTATATTACTCATATTAATTAGGGGTAATGTAGTACTTATATGAATGAATAAATTATTATCATGAAATTATACTATCATCTTTTAACATTATTTGTCATACATAAGTATTACAGTTATACTATCACAATTGTTAATTTTTGAATCGTACCAGCAAGTGTTCCTATTTATGAAAAAACATAATATTCCATACTTCTATTTTCAATAATGTACGAATCACGGTTCTAAATATCCAGATCTTGAATTAGACTTTTCATAACAATGAGAAGTCTAAAAATGACATTGGGTATGTTTGGCAAATGGCTGTTAGCTATTGTTGTTAGCTGGTTGTGTCAGCTGTTTACTAACAGCTGGTTGTGTTAGCTGTTTTGACCGGCTGGTTATGTTAGCTGATTATAGATAACTGTTTGGTAAAATTGGTTGTTTCGAAATGGCTGATAGAGTGTAAATTGAACCAGCCGAATGAAGAAGCTGCTCCCCTTAGCTTCTTCAACAATCCATTTTTTCAGCTTTTCAAACTCAACAAGCTAATTTTAAAAGCCATTTACCAAACATCATTATTAGCTTCTTTGACCAATCAAACAGCTGAAATGGGTCAAACAAGCTAAAAGCCGGCTGATAAGCCATTTGCCAAACATACCCATTATATTTTAGAGAGCATTAAGTTAATATCCAAATACACTGTTGATATTATTTTGCAAATTAATCACATTAATTCCTAGACAATCGTGATCTTGAATTTTATATTTTATAAATTGACGTGTATCTCTGGTTTATTTGAAAGCAGAGATTAAGGAAGAAAATCACACAAAATAGTACTCCGTATAATAATTAAAAAAGAATAATATACAAAAATGGTGTATGCATGAGAGCATATTTGAGTTTTTTTAAAAAAAATAAATCGCCCTACTATATTAAAAGATCATTTTCCAAATGACTTACAATGAAGTTAGAAGAAGAGAAACTAACTTCACTACTCACATGGAAAACAGATGCTTTAGCGATCGATGCAATGAGCTATCTGATTCATGACTGACCGTCTACACCAAACAATTTTAAAATTGTCTTTACTTTTTAATAAAAGCTTGATGACTTCAAAAATAGCTCCCACCAGAGAAGCACATGCCTACCTATCAAGAATAAATCAATAAGGACTGCTCTGCTTCTTTTATTTATCCTTGGGGCCTTTGTGTAATTAATGATAAGTTTGTTGTCTTATATTGTATTCTTAATTCCTTAGTATAAATTGTAAAGTAGATAGCATATGTACGAATTAATTCTCATTCATCCAATATAATTCTTACGAGCTTTCTTCTCATTCTTTACTGTAATCTCATTCTTGAATTCAAACATCAATATGGTATCAGATTAGCTTATCGATCCTTCATCATCTACATCCTTTCCGCTATTACTGATTCTCTGTAATCGTTTTTTTTTTCTCTCCATTCGAATTAGCTCTCAATCTAATAAAACCCTAGATATCATGAATTAAATCTCCTTTTGAAATGTTATATGGCCATGTTCCAGATTATTCACACTTGAAGGTTTTTGGTTCCCTTGCTTATGCTTCTACTCTCACTGCCGACAGAACAAAATTTGACCACAGAGCAAATAAATGTGTTTTCATTGGATATCCTTTAGGTTCTAAAGGATACAAACTTTATGATTTAATTAATCATAAGGTTTTAATTTCCAGAAATGTTAAATTCTATGAAATGATTTTTCCTTATAAGAAAGATTCCATCACTTCTACTTTTAATCAAACTGAAACTGAATCTTTTAACACACATAACAACAATTTCTTTTATGACTATCAAACTACATCTAATAAGAACAATACTGAATCTGTTACTCTTTCTGAAAATGATACCTCTAACTCTTCTCAAAATGATTATCTATACAATCAGATTAATGATGAAATCAATACTTTTAATAGTAATACTACTCTTGATTCCATTAATAATATTTCTTCCAGTTCTGTCCAGGGTAACAATAATAATGGTATGACAGACCATAATTCTCAAAGGAAATCTACAAGGGTAAGATCCTTACCTATTCATTTGAAGGATTACAACTATAAACTGCCTGACTCTCTTAATGCAGGTAAATCCGCACTTTGTTGTAACTTGGTAAGGTATCCTATTCAAAATCATATAACATATGCAAGATTAAGTTCTTCTCACAATTGTTTTACTGCTGCACTTTCAAAAATTTCTGAACCAAAAACTTTTAAGCAAGCTGTCAAAATCCCTGAATGGCAAGCTGCTATGAACAATGAAATTCAAGCACTTGAGAAAAATGATACCTGGATTTTAGTCAACTTACCTCCTAACAAGCATTGTATAGGTTGCAAATGGGTTTTTAAAACAAAACTAAAATCCGATGGTTCTTTAGATAGATATAAAGCTAGATTAGTTGCTAAAGGCTATACACAAGAAGAAGGGCTGGACTATTTTGATACTTTTTCACCTGTAGTTAAACTAACAACTGTTAGAATACTTTTAGCCATTGCTAGTGCTAAAAACTGGTTTTTGCATCAATTAGATGTGAATAATGCCTTTTTACATGGAGATTTATATGAAGAAATATATATGCAACCTCCTCCAGGTTACCTATCTTCTAATGATAATAGAGTTTGCAAACTTACCAAAAGCCTATATGGATTAAAACAAGCTTCTAGGCAATGGTTTTGTAAGCTATCTGAATCTCTTCAACATTTTGGTTATACACAATCAAAAGCAGATTCTTCTTTGTTCACCAAAACCAATGGTAATTCTTTTACTGTTTTATTACTTTATGTTGATGATCTTATTCTTGCAGGTAATAACATTGATGAAATTTCTGCTGTTAAAACCTTTTTACACAAAAAATTTACTATAAAAGATCTTGGTGATTTGAAATATATTTTAGGAATTGAAATAGCTAGGTCTGCTAAAGGTATATGTCTATGTCAAAGAAAATATACTTTAGACATTTTATCTGAAACTGGCTATCTTAATTCAAAACCTTACACCACTCCCATGGATTCCAAACTGAAACTATCTAAAAATGATGGTACTTTATTGGATGATCCAAAATCTTATAGAACTCTTATAGGCAGACTTCTTTATTTAACTGTTACCCGACCTGATATCTCTTACAGTGTCCAAACATTAAGTCAATTTCTTTCTCATCCTACTGATATTCATATGAGTGCAGCACACAGACTTCTTAGATACTTAAAAAATTCTCCAGGTAAAGGACTATTCTATCCTTCTGATTCTAATTTTTTACTTCAAGGATATACTGATTCTGATTGGGCAGCTTGTATTGACACTAGAAGAAGTATTTCTGGATATTGTTTTTACATTGGTGATTCTTTGATCTCCTGGAAATCAAAGAAACAGGCTGTTGTCAGTAGATCTTCTACTGAAGCCGAATATAGAGCTGCAGCAAACTCTGTTTGTGAAGCTCAATGGTTATCCTATATTCTTCATGATTTTCATATTACTCATTCTTTACCCATCACCATTTACACTGATAATAAGTCTACTTATCATCTTGCACACAATCCCGTTCAACATCAAAGAACTAAACACATTGAATTAGATTGTCATCTAATAAGAGAAAAAATTACATCTGGATTGATAACCCTAACTCATATTAAAAATACTTTTCAGATTGCAGATATCTACACAAAAGCCCTTGGAAATCCGTTGTTTAGTCAGTTTGCAGCCAAGATGAACATGTTGGATATACATGCTCATCTTGAGGGGGCGTATCAAGAATAAATCAATAAGGACTGCTCTGCTTCTTTTATTTATCCTTGGGGCCTTTGTGTAATTAATGATAAGTTTGTTGTCTTATATTGTATTCTTAATTCCTTAGTATAAATTGTAAAGTAGATAGCATATGTACGAATTAATTCTCATTCATCCAATATAATTCTTACGAGCTTTCTTCTCATTCTTTACTGTAATCTCATTCTTGAATTCAAACATCAATACTACCCTTGAACTCCGGTTACCACCAATCCTGCGTTAGACTCGACCACCACCTTTTGCCAACCCATTTTAATTGCCCAAATGAAATGGTAAATAGTGAGATTATATGAATGTATTTACTTATAAGAGATAACATAATTGTGTAACTTATCAAGTAATTTAGTGCATAATGGAAGGGAAAATGATATTGAGGTGGATTCTCCCTTTATGTATACAAAATAAGATAAGATTCTCCCTTTATGCATATAAGAATAAGATTATTTATGTTTATATAATTATTTTAAGAGGTAATTTGAGTTTGCACCCCATATTATAGTGCAAATTAAACTTTGCATCCCGTTTTTAAAAAACTTTGTTTTTGCACCCCTATCTCATATGAAAAGACAAAAATACCCCTCCATTAACAAATTTGTTGGCCTTCATCATATCCTTGATCGAGGGCATTTTTGTCTTTTCAAATGGAGTTGGGGTGCAAAAACAAATATTTTTTAAAACGGGGTGTAAAGTCCAATTTCGACAAAAAAAATGGGGTGCAAACTCAAATTACAACTTATTTTAAACTATAAAAATTATGCATAAAAATGGGGTGCATTATAAATTAGAATCTTGTTTTAAATTTATACAATGTTTGAAGTGCATAAAATTTTATAAGCTACATAACTACGAGTAACTTTTATAACTTATTATTACGTTTTTAGTGACTAATTTGGGAATGAACTTTATATTGTGTTAAAAAGACCTGTCACTGTTAATTTCAAATATTTTAATATGTAACGAAATTAATAGGGAGTGGAAAAAACTTGTCATTTAACGTACCCATGAGAAATCTATATCAATTTAAACGTACTTGACAACCATTAACTTTCATGAGTCCAACTAAATAAGTCATGCATTATGGTGAAGCAAGCGGGTTTTGCCTCTTGTAACGCTTGATTTTAGGTTAGCATTACACATATATTATCCTCTGACGTCTACTCATTCATGACATTGAATCATTTTACATTTTCAAGATAATTAGAAATAAGTTCACATTTTATCTCATATACACTAGTGCACCTCGAAATATAAATATAGTCAATAAGTCATTAATTTAAGGAAAAAGGTGCAAATAGGCTCATGTACTAACAAAAAAAGGTCAAATAAGCCCTTATTTAGGAGGCTCTGTCCGGTTATCGTCATTTGGGGTGGTTTCCGGTAGAATTTTTTGATGAATTTTTTTGAGCATCTTATTCATCAAGTCTAGTTTACTCATACCAAATTTCAGCTAAAACTTCAATCGTGAAGACATTCAAATCAATTCTTGAATATAACTGTGCTTCTAACTGCGCAATTATTTTCAAGAATTCATTTGAATGCCTTCCCGATTGAAGTTTTAGCTGAAATTTGGTATGAGTAAACTAGACTTGATGAATAAGATTCTCAAAAAAATTCATCAAAAAATTCCACCGGGAACCACCCCAAATGGCGATGACCGGACAGAACCTCCTAAATAAGGGCTTATTTGACCCTTTTTGGTTAGTACATGGGCCTATTTGCACCTTTTCCCTTAATTTAAAATGAGAAATAAGCCAAACAACTACAGTTTTAAAATTAAAAGTGCAAGTACTCAAAGTTCTATAATAGTGAAGATAAAAAACAATATTTTAAAAGTTCTGATACATATGTCCGTTGGAGCTATTAATTTCCAGGGATAATTAGAATTAGAGATAGGAGGATGAGTGAATTAGGAATAGACCCATTAGTTGTGTACTCCATAAAAGCAAGGTAAAAATTATTTTTAACTTTTCATTTTTTAAGAATTTTATTATGTAAATTTTGAGTGTTTTTTTAAAAAGTTTTTTTTGGAAGATTATTTTTAAAAAGTTGATACGAGTATTTGTTAGGATATGAGTACCCGAAATTTTAAAATAATTACAAAAAAATATGGAAACTTTTAAAAATTGCAGATACGACCAGGAAACGTATGATACGAGTATCCTAAAGTATCGGATACGGAAACGTTTCCGATACGCTGATACGGCACGCTAATGAAGTATCCGTGCTTCATAGGTACTACATAAAAAGTCTTTTTACTTTTTGGAACATAATCTTTAAAGTTTTTAATTGCATGTTTGCACGATACTTTTTAGTAACCGTTCATACTTCTTAAGAATATTCTCAGAATAGTTTTCTAGAACAAGTTTATTATTTTTAGTACTACGATATTAATTAGTCGTAAGATTAAACTCTTAAAAACTTTAAAAAGTATCTTTTCAACTAGTTGTATCAAAACATATACGAAGTATATATATATATATATATATATATATATATATATATATATATATATATATATATATATATATATATATATATATATATATATATATATATATATATATATAGAGTGCTCTTCATGTCAGGCCGGCCTGACGGGCTGCCCCGTCCGGCCGAGCCCGTTTGGGCACCTTCCCGGTGGAATTTTTTGATGAAATTTTTTGAGAATGTTCCTCGTCAAGTCTAGTTTGTCCATACCAAATTTCAGCTCAAAATTCAATCCGGAAGGTCATCAAATGATTTTTGCAAGTTAACTGGTCTGGAAAATACATATTCCGGACCAGTTAACTTGCAAAAATCATTTGACGACCTTCCCGATCGAATTTTGAGCTGAAATTTGGTATGGACAAACTAGACTTGATGAGGAACATGCTCAAAAAATTTCATCAAAAAATTCCACCGGGAAGGTGCCCAAACGGGCTCGGCCGGACGGGGCAGCCCGTCAGGCCGGCCTGACATGAACATTCCTCTATATATATATATATATATATATATATATATAGAGAGAGAGAGAGAGAGAGAGAGAGTCCCGTTCTTGTCCAGCCGGCCTGACGGGAACCGCCGTCCGGACGAGGGCATTTCGGGCACTTTCCGATCGAATTTTTTGATGAAATTTTTTGAGCATGTTCTTCATCAAGTCTAGTTTATCCATACCACATTTCAGCTCAAAATTCGATCGGGAAGCCAAATAATTTTTTGAAGTTGACTGCGTCAAAATATACATATAAAAACGCAGTCAACTTAAAAAAATGATTTGAATGCCTTCCCGATCGAATTTTGAGCTTCAATTTGGTATGGATAAATTAGACTTGATGAAGAACATGCTCAAAAAATTTCATCAAAAAATTAGATCAGGAAGTGCCCGAAATGTCCTCGGCCGGACGGCGGTTCCCGTCAGGCCGACGGTTCCCGTCAGGCCGGCTGGACATGAAGTTCTCTCTCTCTCTCTCTCTCTCTCTCTCTCTCTATATATATATATATATATATATATATATATATATATATATATATATATAGGGTGAGATTTGTTTTGACCATTATAGGGTTAAGATCAGATACAAAGTATGATTCCCATACAAAATGCAAAATCATCTCATCCATCCAATATTATAAAATCAAGGGTGGGATTTGTTTAGACCACTATATCCATACCTATTAGTACAGTGTAATCGTTTTTAATCTTCTCTCCACTAAATGTGGATCATGTAGTTAGTGGGTGAGCTTTATCATCTACACCGTTATTTCATTTTTATGGATGGCCAGAATTAGTTTGCACTTTGTAAATTAGGATTACTTAAAAAAATTATTATACATTTGACAATGGAGGGATACCGACTAGGGTTGGGTCTGAAAAACCGAAAACCGAAAACCGAATCAAATTAAACCGAACCGTGACCAAATAAAATCGAACCGCTAAAAAACCGAAACCGAATGTAAAAAACCAAACCGAACCGTAGTAGTTTGGTTCGGTTTTGGTTTTTACCCTTCAAAACCGAACTAAAATAAAATATGAAATTTTATTTGTTAAATGTAAGAATTAATTTGAATATCATCAATAATCTTTGAATTTCTTGTGCTAGAGAAATAATGTTTGTGCTATGTTTAGTTTAGTTTATAAATGCATTTACACATTCATTGCCCATAATAATGTAGCTATATTGATCTATTATGTCTTCTATGTATGTATGTTGCAATTTATTGCATGATTATATGTTTTTACTTGCTATTAGTAGTAATTAACTTTTATTTTTATGTAACTTAATTTTTTTTGTAACTTAAATTTTTTATATTGATAAAACAAATAAATATTCATCTCAGCTATATCACACATGACATATGTATTCATAAACTTTTTTCAAACTAGTCACAAATAATGTAAATTAAGATATACCTCCCGCATACTCATATAATTAATTCAAGACATATTTGTTTATTA